TGAAATAAAAGAAGTAACCAAATTAAGGTTATAAGCAAATATAGCATCATGACAAACAGGAGCACGTGGTTTATTGAACTGTGCAAGAATTAAAAATTCGAGGCATGCGACAGTGGACCCCACCTCACAAGACTATGCCCTTGTTTGATTCCCATTTTTTTCCGAAATACATTTTTCGGTCTTCTTTTCAACCACACATACTTCAATAAAATAATATTACATGCAAATCCAAAACTTTTTCTTATTTTTTAACCACACATTCTCCATCAATCTATAATTCTAAAATGCATTTTTAACCTTTTAATGGGGCTCAAACGGGCTCTAAATAACATCAGCCCAGCATGGGAAGCACCTATCATTAGCCACAAATTACTCTAGCTTTATGATTGCTGCATGACAAATGTACATCTAGAGGCGTGCTAAATGAGAAACAGATATGCAAGGGGCTACTGACGGTTCACATTTTCTCATTTAATTTTTGTTTTATCATGTTTTTCCTCATCTACGAATGGTCGCCCTAGAATATTGTATCTAGCATCTTTCGAATCCTGTATAATTCAAGAAGACATGGAAAGAAAGCAAATTACGCTTAAAAGTCCCATAAAGGGGGACTTCTTTTTTTTTTGGCAATATTACTCTTCATGCTGTCGAAAAAAGTCCCTTAAATTTAAAGCTTAGCCAAACATGCTATATTTGAGGAATACGGGAACAAGTCTTCTGTACCTTCATCTTGTAATGTTTTGGATGCAGCCATTACAAGTTCAAAAATCTCAATGGCATTGATAATGGCGTGGGACCCTTTTGTAGGATGCATGGTTATTGTCAAAGTCCTGCCACTAAGAGCAACAGTAGTATTCAGTACTAGGGCACTGTTAATGCCCCCAGCCATATCCACTATGTCTACAGCTGGAAATGAAACATCGCCATTTATCGAGATGTCAAATACCCTTTGCCCAGCGGCAGTAACTGAAGGATCTATTTCTGCAAAGTGCAACCAAACGGAATAATTTCGATTAGGTTCGACCTCAGCTGTGTATATTAAATCAGGCTGACTATCACTACTAACAAGAGCCGTTTGATAAAGAGCTTCAGGATAAAAGTTGGGTGATTTTGAGGCCTGCTTGATGCTGTTTGTGGTAGATATGGCACGATCTGAACTCTCTTCAAATGTCTGGATGGAATTCCAGAATCGATCCCCACCCCAACGATCCGCACTATAATCAACACCAAATTTCGGATCACGGGACCCGCAACTGACTCTTCTATCAGTTCTGAGGATGACCCCTTGACCATAGCCTGGACCAAAATAGTACGCATTGTTATCAACTTGAAGGATCTCAATTGCAAGTATTGCTGGATCTCCATGTCCAGTACTATGGAAGCAAAGAGAGGCCGTGCCATCCTTAAGAAATATGAAGGCTTCAACAAAAGCTCGCTCATCATCGTGATTACTCCAACCCGGTGGCATAGAATAAATTAACGCTCCTTCAATAGAAACGTCAAATAAAGGTTCATTGTCAAAACTGGGTTCTGCAACCAATCCAAAGAAGATTCTCACCGAATAATGTCCATGTGGAACGCTATTTATATTGTAGCAGTTTTCAGGACCCTCGGACAAAGGGAAATAACGAAGAGTCTTGAGTCTGGGAGAGATGAAACTCGGGAGGGTTGCATTACCAGGTATTCCTCCGGTGTAAGCATAATCCTTATACCAGAGAGTATTTGATGGAGGACTATGAACATCACTACGTGCTCCACAGCTTATTCGCAAAGCATATGGCCCTGCAATGAAATAAGGATTCAGATACTGGAGAAGACCAGAAGGAGACGATTTGCTTAAAGGAACTTCAGCAATCACAATATAGTTATAGCACCAAAAACTCAAATACAAAAAACCAGGAAGGTATTTAAATGTGATGAAGATTGCATTGCAAATTCATAAAAAATACATCTTAGGCATAAAACAAGATTGTGATTTATTATATTTTTATTTTATTTTCTTTCCATGATATTAGTCATAAAGCTAGAAAATTTCAATTTTTATCATTTAGGCAACTTTGCATTTTTTTATAGGAATTTTAAATAAAACTAGAAAATTCAGAGTTCTCTAGTTTCTCTCCCCCGTTCTCCATCAAAAATATTTAAAGCTAGCACCTCATGCATACTTCCAAGTGCACCAATTCCCAGTCGGCTAAATATTATTATGCAATGAAACTAAAGGGAAAATCCAAATTATTGTTGATTTTGTATGAATATATCAATTCAGCTTAAAGTGAAAAATCAGCTCTTTCAAATCCATCATAATTGCTTAAAGCTTTTACTGGGTAGTGTTGCCACTGTGAGTTGGTCGTCAAAAAGGTCCATCCAAGCCTATATCACCGACAAGGAATGTATATCTTTAAAAGCCTATCTCACTTAAAACTAAAATTGATTATAATTACATTGTCAACATTCCTAGAATTTCATTTGCTTTTGAAGCTGAGACAGAGTAATCTTACAAGTATATTATATCTTCACCGTCATCTCCTTGCTAATTTTTTCTCCACTATTACAATGAAGGATTATTCTAAAATTTTGAAACTGGACAAGAACATGAAATTTGAAACTGAACATCAGAAACAGATACCAAACATTCTTGCTTTCCCTTCTTTTTCTCCAAATTTTTCTCAAAAATTCAGTCTCCCAGAAGAAATAAAAAACCCAACTTTTAATACCCAAATAAATTTAAGCAGAAGAGAACAACCACCAAATCAAGCTTCACTAAACACAAGTAAACAGTTTCCAGTAAAGTGTAACTTAAAATCAAACCACATCCATTCAAGAAACTGAACAATTTCACCACTAAACTACATTAAACCCAAAACCAAAAAGTACAAAAAAAAATCCAGAATCAAGCACACAATTGAACAGGCAGAACCGCAGTAATCCTTCACTAAAAAATTATGCAGTAAGCTAATCAAATCACAGAAATCGGAGAGCAAGTAAGGAGCTGACCTCGAGAGAATGAAGGCTTGAGCACTAAGAAAAAAGCAAGCAAGAGCAAGAATAATCTGCGACTGAGCATTGTTCACCCTAACTTACAAATGCTAAAAATTAGAAACTTTTCCTTAATATATACAACCTTTTTTAGTCGAATTATGGTGACATTCAATCTTGGATCTTTATCTTCCTTTGTTTTGTGATGTTTTTGAGGAGAGAGAATCTAGACTGTGAGAATGTGAGAGAGAAAATTTATCTATTAAAAAAAAATAAAAATTATAGGTAGTGCGTGGGACGTGCTATGCAGGTACAGACACTTGAAAATTTATTTCAGTTTAGTTTATTTAATATTTTTTTGTCTGTTCGATTCGACCCGTGAATTTGAAGAGCCAGTATTAGGTTAGTGATGAGTAAGTTTTACAGAAAAAATTGCATTTAAAATGTCATTGGTGGCTGGATTGACCGCACTGCTCCTTTTCGAGTTTAATCGTAATCAAATTGCTCGATTGCTATCTAAAATTTGGACTTCTATCTAAAATGTTAATCTTATTAAAAAGGGTAGAGCAATTCTTTATATATTGATCTATATTTCGATAATTAATCGATATGGAATATATCATTTATCACTATGCAGATGATGTTACTCAAATTTTAATTATATGTTTAACGTACATATAAATTGACTTACTATAATTTAAAGGAACGGTAATTGATGTGGACAGGAAAAATAAATCCCCGTTTGGTCCTCATCATTAAAGATTATAATTTTTGAAATAGTATATATATATATATATATATATATATATAGATTGAGTGATTGTAAAAGAAAAAAAAATTCGATTTACGTGTAATATTATTTTATTAAAGAATACGTGATTGAAAAGAATGGTGAGAAAAATCTAGTGAAAATTACCCAATTCCCTACATTTGGAAATCCAAATTCTAAAATCAGATATAAAGTTTATTTTTTCAAAAATCAGATTTTTTTTTATATGGATACAGATTTTTTATACTTAATTAAATATTAATAATAATATTATAAAAATTAATTTATACCCCCACCCC